AGAGGGAGAGAAACAACAATGTGTGGTTGCTTCTTGCATGCCCCTTACTGGGGACCTGGCCCTCAACCCAGGCATGTGCCCTGACAGCGAATGAACCGGTGACCCTTTGGTTCACAGGCTGGTGCTCAACCCACTGAGCTACACCAGCCAGGGCCCTTTGCCCATTTTTTAATTGGGTTGTTTGTCTTTTTATTAAGTGAATTTTAAACGTTTTTCATATTTGCACATTTTAAAACTTTATGTAAATGCTACAGTCTGTAGCGTTCAGCAAGTTTTCTCCTGAACATTATGTGTGTGACACTCATCCAGGTCAATATGTGTAACTCGAAGGAAAAAAATGTGCACCCTCAGTTTGTTTGGTTTTGTTGCTTTACGTTTCTTCCCCTTCACTCTTCAAGCCAGTGCCTCTGCTTCTGCCTTCACGACTCACTAGAACTATTCTCACTGAGGTTACTGACTCCCACGTTACCAAATCCAAGGAACACATCTTACTGTTCCTCTCCGTGGTGTTTGATATTTCTGACCATTCTTTCTCGAACACTCATCGCGCTTTCAGAACACTGCATTCTCAGGATTTCCTTGTCCTCCTCCTCCTCAATCTCCCTTGCTGGCCTTCTTCCTCGGCTGGGTCCTTGCACGTGGAGTTCCTTGGGTCTGTCCTAAGTCTTCTTTTCCTCCCTCCATAAACCTGGGCTTAGATTTCATCCATATATTTCATCCATAATAATTGCTGCATCACAAATTATTCCAGATAATTTGGAATTAATTGGCTTAAAACCATAACCATTTTATAGCAGTTTATGATCCTCTGGGATGATGGGGGCTCATCTGAACAGTTTCGCTGTCTCACTTGGGGTGTCTCATGTGGCTGCAGTCAGAAGGTGACTGGAACTGTCCAACATGGCTGGCTCACTCGTCCGGGACCCTGGCAGGAACAGCTGGAATACTGGGTCGGCTGGACCTCTCTCCATGTCAAGGCCTCTCCTCCAGGTGGTCCGTACAGAAGAGTAGCTGACTTCTCACATGGGAGCTTAGGGGTCCCCAGAGCACAAGAAGCTGCCAGCTCTTCTCAAAGCTCACACCTGGACCTGGTACGGTATCACTTCCACTGCATTAAAAGGAGTCACAGGCCAGCCGATTTCACTGAATACCAGGAGTCCTGCGTCTATGGGAGCTGTCTTTGGAGACGAGCTACCACAGTTGATGGGTCCAAAATTGCTACGACTGCTCTTCTAAGTTCCAGACCTAAACGTTTAGTCACCCTATAGACCTCTCTTCCTACCCTGGACCTCTCTTACCAAGTGTGCATACAGTTCAGACGTATTCTATTCAGTCTGATCTCGGTTTTTCAGAGGAGGAGCCCGAGGCTGGTGGACGTTGAGTGAACTGCCCAAAACCTCACCCTATTCAGTAGTGCGGAGAAGTGAGACTTGAGGCCGTGGGCTGTGCAGACAGGCAGCCTCGTGTTCAAGGCCTTTGCGCCCAGCCAATGCCCAGCTGCCATCAGTGCAGGCCACCATCGCTTCTCACTTGGATGTCCACGGCAGCTTCCCAACTGGGGTTCCTGCTGCCAACCTGGCCCCATCTAATCTGTCCCCCACGCCTCAGCGAGAGGGATCTTTCTGGAGCGCAAAGTGGGTTATGGCTCTACTGAGCTTAAACCTTTCAATGGTTTTCCTCTTGAGCTCGAGATGAAATTCAACTTTTTACAGCCGATAACACAATCCTTCACAAACTGGCTCTTGTTAACTAGACAGTGTAGCACGGGACAAGGGTCCTTCATCTCTCTGGGAGGGCATTCTGGAAATCTGTAGCGGTCTTTCATTTGCCACAAGGACAAGGATGGCATTTGGTGGGCAGGGGTCAAGGTGCTGGAGTACTCCAATGTGAGGGGTGGGTCCACCAAGAATAATCCTGGGATGCACCCGTCTTTCAGTGTCTTACTGGACATTCCATGTGGAAGAACCTATTCATTATCACCTGAGCCTAGGATCCATCTCCATTAACCTTACACCCAAGGGAGGCAGGGACTGGTTTATTTTTGGTTCATCCTTGCCATGAGAATGTGGTCCTTTGGGATCCCATCTCCACGAAGGGAGATCTCCTGTGAAGCTCCCCTGTTGAGGAGGTTTGGGGGTGTTCCTTTTTCCCATGAGACACTGACAAAAGCTCATGTTCACCTAGCAGGCAAGTGTCTTCAGGGCAAAGGCCTGCTTCAGTGTCCCGCTTACCTGTGTGTGTGTCCCCTGCCTTTACTCACTTTGTTTTGCCCTGCAAATGCCTTACTTTTTTAAAAATCAAAGCATTTAAGATTTTAAAAAAATCTTATCCAGGATTTTTAGTTGCTTTTAGGGAGGAGGTCTCCAAGGTACTTAGCCTGACATATTATTAGAAAATGCAAGTACAATCATGAAATTTTTTTGCATTGTTAATATAATCTATCTTTTCTAGGAATACAACTACTGTATATATTTTTTTGTGCATTGTTCAGAACTTTAACAAAGAGTTGTCCACCATTTTGGGAAATCACATCACAAATGACAATGCTGCCCAATGAAATGCCCTTAGGTCAGTCTGCACTTGTTACTGTCCTGTTCTTAGTAATTCCAGCCTAGATGTGAGTGCCCTCAGCTGACCACTGTACTGTGTATCTTCCAGCACAGTGGTGCCTAAGCACTGATCTATTAAACTACCTTCCTCTCACTTGTCTTCACTATTGTTAAGGCATTATGTTGACTTGCTTTTTGAAGTCACATAGGTCATACTATCTGTTAATTTCACTTCCGGATAGTAGAGTTACAACGTAGTTGTTATAATATAGGGACGTTGGGTCTGATAGAGTTCCGGGTCATTTGGCATGCACAGTTTCTGGAGACAGTTCTGCTGCTTCATAGGTATGCTGATTTGGGGGGCAAGATGGTTAACTGCGCTGTGTCTCAGTTTCTTCGACTCTAAAATGCGGGTAATAATACCTGCTTCAGAAAGTTCCCGAAAAAATTAAATGAGTTACGGCATGTGAAGTTAAGACAGTACATGGCCCACGGTAGTGCTAACAAACTTCAGATGCTGTGATTACTTCTTCGACCTAATTTCTTGCCTTTCCCATAGTTCTAGCTCTAACCACATCAAAATACTTTGTTTTTAGAATGTGCTGTGATTCTTTTTGTTTTGCACATACCTGCCTCTGCCTTGAAATGCTTCCTCCCCCACCCCTGCCCTTGGCCAATTCCTACTTACCCATCAGTCCTCACTTAGAAGTTACTTTCCTCATGAAGCCCACCCCTGTATCCCTAAATCTGCGTGCGATGTCCCTCTGTTCCACCCCAGGGACTGCCGTTATCACACAGCGATGTTACAGAGAATGGGGACTTACATTAGCTGTGGTGGGCACGGAAGGCCCTCTGAAGAGGGGGCATTTGAGCGGAGACCTGAAAAATGAGGAAGAAGCAGAATCAAGCCAATACAAAGGCCTCGAGGGACCACTTGGTGTGTTCCTGCAATAGAAAGCCGTTCTGCACAGTGTATAGCTAGTGAGGATGGGACAGAAGAAAAATAAGGCTGAAGAGCTGGGAGTTTAGATCCACCTGGCCCTATCACCCTAATTTCGGGCATGTAAGACTACATACCTGAAAATCTTTACCTCTGCACCCACAGGTAAGCTCTGTCTGGAATGTGCTCCTTGCCTTCTCTGATTAATAATAAAATTCTACTCATCCTTCAAAGCTGAGTTGAAAACTGTTTACGAAACCTTCTCCCATTCTTTAGCAGGAATTAATCACTCTCTGGCTTGATGTTCAGGAGCCCGTATGTCCCCACAGCACTAATCACATGCTGACTTACATCTCAGCTAGCAGTTTACATGCCAATCTGCCCACCACACAGTGAGTGCCCCAGGGGAGATGCTGTGCTTTAGTCACTTCCACAGTCATCTCCTGATGCCTAGCCCAGTGCCTGGCCCACAGCAGGTCCTGTGTCAATGGATGCCATGACATTAACTTGACTTGTGGGTGGCGCTCAGTACTACTCTTGGCAAACAAAAATAATAATAACTTCTGGCTTATCACATGCCTTCCCATTCATTACCTGATTTGAGCTCATGAGACAGTCGAGACAGGCACTATTAGCTCCATTTTACAGACGGGGTAGTTGAGGCCCAAGGGCATACAGGTAATAATCCCAATCCTGTCCCCTTACTTCAGATTTGGAGGAGGGGAAGGACGATGGAGAGCATTTTGAAGACAATGGACTTGGGTGAAGTAGAAAGGTACTTTTGTGGGTGGACTAGGGAGGGATCCTGTGAGCAGGGAAGGTTAGCAGCCCCAACAGGGAGGGGCACAGTAGTCTTCTCCCAGACCCCAAGCAGTTGTAATAGACTGCGGCGCCATCCTCCACCCCTGGAATCTGGGGAATCTCAGACCCTGGAGAGAGGAGACCGGTGTTCACCAGTGTTCTAGTCAGGTGGTTAAGTTGACGTTAACGATGACTTCTTGGCAGGAGGCCTGCCTCTCAGTTGCTATGACAACCGAAGCTTGACTCCTGGGCTCTTGCAAGGTTGACTGAGGCCTAGAGGTTTTCGTTAACTAGAAATTAGGGAAGGACATTTGTGAGGTGTGTGTGTGTGTGTATACGCGCGCCGTGGGATAAAGAAAAAGAGGTATATTCAAGACCCTGTTTAGCTCGCTGATTAGCCACCTCGGCAACAGTTGAATCATCTGCGCAGTTTCAAAAGGCCCGATGCCGACGCCGTCCCCCAGACCAATTAAATCAATCTCTGGGAGTGCAACTCGGCATCACTATTTAAGTGTTTCCAGGTGATTACAATTGGAACCAAAGTTGCAAACCTTGCTCTTAGCTGGTAGGTGAAATTCTTGCGACCTTCCCAAGATGGTGGCTACCGAACCGCTTCCGCTTTCACAGCCTCCGGCAGGAAGCGGGCTTTCCAGAGGCGCATGCGTGTAGCGTCTCTCCGCTCCCGGCTCCCTGCTCCTTTTCCCCCCGCCTCCATTTTGTTCGCGGACGCTGGGGACGGTGGGAGCAGATCCATTTCCGGGTTGGCAAAAGGGGCGGCGGCGGCGAGAAAGGGAGCTCGCCGGGCGGGGGTCGAGCAGGACGGGACAAAGCTGGAGCGGAGGTGGCGGAGGATTTGCTCCTGGAGCCGCTGCGGCCAGGTCGGAAAGGGGTGAGGGAGTCTGGGTCTGTCGCTGAGATGATCTGCGGACCTGAGTGGGAGGGAGAGCCGGGGAAGAGGGGGGTTGGGGCGGGGCTTCAGGGGAGAGGGGCGTTGGAGGAGGGGCCTGAAGAAGTGAGGGGTCCTGGGGGCGGGGCCTGAGGGGAGGGAGACCGGGGGGCTGGGTCGGAAGAACCGGGGGAAGAGAGGGCGTGGGAAATCTAAGTGGGGGGAGTGGTTGGGAATTAGTGTGGGGAGAACGATGCCTGTGAAAATGTGGAGGAAAATTATTAAGAGGCAGGAAATAAAGGATCCTGAGGGTTGGGTAAGGTGAGTAAGACAGCGATTCAGAGCGCGGAACGAGGTAACCGTGCGCAAAGAGGGAGATGGGGAGGGAGGACCTGTTGGGAACAGGTAATTAACAGGATGCTGCGGGTGAGGGGGCCACTGTGACATTTTGGGGATTGAGTTGAGTGAGAACCAATGGTTGGGAGGTTGGTTCGGGAAACTGCTTACACTTGGAGGGAATCTTGAGAGCGTTAGTTTAGTAGGAATCACGATGGAGGAAAGGTTGGACTGAGAAATGTTGAGGTGCACCTGGCCGTAGCCGAGTTGAGGCTTCAGTTTGGGGTGGTGTGCAGTGAGGGAAGGTGGAAATCTTCAAGTGTTCAGCATGGGCTGTGCGTGTTGTTGAGTTACTAATCAGGAAGGAAAATTCTCAAAAGGTAACTAACACTGGGGTGACAAACTGGAAGAGCTGGTGTACACACTGGAATTGGTAGTTTTAAAGGGATTAGAATAACCTGTTACTGCTTTGGACTCCCCAAAATCCACCTCCTTTTTCGTGATGGTATTTTTGCCTTAGAGTCGCTGTTTCTGAATGAATTACTGAATGTTTTTGGTGACTGTTTTCTCCTTTTACACATCGCAGAAGAACCTCAAGGAATGACTGACTGTTCTAGCCCACCTAAGGATTAACTAAGATTAACAATTTGAGGCCAGTTGTTAAACTCTCATTTTTTCCCTTTGAGGTACAGGTTTGGTCTCCTCACTGCCTCTAAAAGATTGTGTCCACCAAATGGGATCTTTAAAGCGGTTGTAAAGAATCAATCTCGAAAAACAAGATTGGCATACTGATATTTAGAAGACAGGTCTTTCTCATTTTCTTCCTCTCAGCCTTGCTGCTTTTCTGTGCTAGGGAAGAGTTGGCGATTTATTATTTTTTTAATCCTCACCCGAGGATATGATTATTGATTTGAGAGAGAGAGAGAAAAAAGAGAAAGGGAAAAAGGAAACATCAATGTGAGAGAAACATCGATGACTGGTTGCCTCCTGCAAACACCCCAGACCAGGGATTGAACCCCAAACTCTTTTGGTGTATGGAGCCACTGGGCTAGGGGAGTGGAAATTTAATACAGGTCCATTTTCTTTTTTAAGCTTTTCTTAACTTCAACTTTTAGTAGTCAAAAAATTCCTATTATTGTGTTAACATTGTATTGGCTGCCATCAAGATCGAGATAGGGAAATCAGAGTTGGGGCGGATGAGGTCCGTTGATGGAGAGCATTGGAGAATGCAGTCTACCACCAGAATGTTTTACTCTTTCAAACTCTGTGTTTCATTTTTCAATCACTTTACCCTTGACAAACACTGACTTTCTTCGGGATCTTTTTGAAAATTCACGGAAGTGTAGTATCTTAGACAGTCGCTTTGGTCCAGTCACTCTGGCCCCGTTGCCACTGTGTCTGTGGACAGTTTTAACCCTTCTGTTAACCCTTCTGTTAACCCGTTGAAATAGTGACTGATTAAGCTTTTCCTTTAGGCATAATACCCTAAACACTCTGCTCGCAGGTGAACTTGTTTGGCTTAGCAGTGTTCCTGAAAGTCTTGGCGTTTCTGAGGCCTGACGTGGGTTTGCTTGAGAGGGGGTAGTTTCTCGTTCTCGCTCACCCTCCGTATCAGGGTGGTGTTTACCTTGGGTGCTACTGATTAGTTACGCGGTGTCAGCACAAAGGTGAAATGCCGGGGAAGGGGGAAGGCGTTGAGAACGGTGTTTTCAGGTTTTGCTTTTAAGAAGGGGAGAGAGGGATCCTGTTCCTATCGAAAATTGTCAGGTGTTTTTTCTTACTTCTTGGGCTCTTTGGGAGAATAACCCGGTGTACTTGAGTCTGTTTTCCTGTTGCTCTTGAAGTAATTCTGAAAATCCTGGTGTGCTGGTTCAGGCTGTAGTCTTCACACTAACCTAGGAAGAGCGAGCTGTAGGCTGTGAAGTATGTACACTTGGGAGTAAAAACTTGCTTCGTATTTTGCTGTCATTTCAGCCTACTGTGTGTGCTTTTGGTTTGTTTTAAAGAAGGTTCAGAAATAAGTTACAGTTCTCAGAGCTTCGGGAAGGCTGTTGGGTATAGCCTGCGTGTTTAACATGATGATTTTTCATTTTTTCCTGTCCTGTTGTGTTTTCCACCGCTCTGCTTGGTCCAGTCCTAAGTGGAAACAGCAAATTACATATTTTTTTTCCTCCCTTTTAGTCTCTGGTGGACATCTTGTCTGTGTCACGGTTTGATCCCACCAGACTGAAAGGATTCTTGACTGCTGCAGATGAGGTGGGCGACAGAAGCCGAGCCGGGCTTCCTGGGCCGGAGAATGGGCTCTGTCAAAGCGAAGAATGGCCGCAGAAACACAAACCGGGGCCCCGAAGCTGTGACTAACATTTTGGCAACATGCTTCTTTTTGCCAAATAACTTCTTTTCTTCTTGAATGTGATTGTTGATCTCCTTCTCAAAGTAGGCCCTTGTTGCTACTGTTCTTCACACAACTCCTGAGCAGCAGTTGGCAGGGTTCCGCTCGGCTGTCTCTTGAGGGATATGCCCCGGATTAGAGTGGATGGGGTGTTCCGTGTCAGAATGCGGTCCACGGGCAGCTCCTGAGAGCTGCTCAGCAAGGAAACGGAGGCAGTACTCTTTACTGAATGTTTCTGTACTCCTCTGTTTTTTCTGAATTCAAATCTGTTTCTTATTCATCTTGTGATTAAATGCAGAATCATTGCCTTTGTCTAGCTTTGAAAGTCCAGGGCACTGAGGAAGAGAGAGTATTTCCAACTTCTTTATTCCTCCTCTCTCACTCAGCCTTTGGGCTTGGGGAGCCACAGGCTAGGTTCATGGGCACTGTTTGGCATACTGTATAGAAGGGCATTTAAAATGCTGCTCAGAACTTTATGGAGAAAAACAAAGTTAGTAGGGGAAAAGGTGATACATTCGCTAATGCAGAAAGAGCCTGTGGAGGCCAATAAGTGATCAAAGAGGGGAGGTAGGAATTGGCTTCCAGCTTGCCATTTAGGCTTGGCAAAGTCATAACAATTTAGAATGGCTATACTAAATACTTTGTTCTGCTTAGTAAATGCCCTTTCAGTATGTTCTACTTAGTAAATACCCTTTTGTTTTTCAGGGGATAATTAGTTGAAGATAACAGTGTCTCCGATAGGTCTTGGGATGGATTATGAAGATCATTTCTTGCACTCTATGACATTGGTTCTTATAACATTGGAGACCCCAAGACAGATCTTCTCGTTGGTGGCCCTGGATTCGGCTTTCTCCTGCCATCATTAGTCCAGCGTATCTGTTCCTGATATGCAGGTTTGGGAAATTCCACGCGTTCAGAACCAAGGGTTTTAACTCTGGTCCCAGGCTGCTGCTATTTATTTATTTATGTAGAATAGATTCAAGAGAGGGGTAGAAACATCAATTTGTTGTTCCACTTATTTATGCATTCATTGGTTGATTCTCGTATGTGCCCTGACTGGGGATTGAACCCTCAATCTTGGTGTATCAGGAAGATGCTCTAGCCAACTGAGCTATGTGGCTAGGACTGGTTCAGGGCTTTGATTATGATAACAAATGTGATTATTGGAGTTGTATTTAAACAAGTTTCAGGCCTTTCTTTCCTAAAGAGAATCTTAAAGTTTGGCAAATCTGTATTTTAAGAAATGTGTGTAGCTTTCCTCTCCATTCTTAAAATTGATTTCCAAAAAAATTTAGTTTCTTAAACTTTGTGGATTCAAATTAAGCTCCATTTAGATTTTAAGGCCCTTCAGTGAAAATAATTTATTTTTAGTCAGTGTTTATATTTCTTCAGTACAGATTCATCAACTTACTTTTTATGCTTATAGAAATGCTGAATCCAATCTTTCTCCCAATAATCCCTTCTGATTGAAAACATTCTCTGTGTGTCCAGATTGGGACATTTGGTTCCCCCCAAAATTAAATTTTTCTTCTGAAGCGATGTAATCTAGTGTGGGGAAAGCTGTCTGAGATTTATGGCTGAGTTTTCCTTTTTTCCACTTCTGCCTTGCGAGTGCTTAGCTGGTAGGCTAGACATTTGTCATCAAGTATCTAGGTGTAGAACATTTAAACTCTTTCCATCACTGTCTTAGGAATAAGGGCAGGACTGTCTTTAGCAAATTTTACTTTTTAAATAGACAATACATTAACGTGGTTCAAATTTTGAAAGATAAAGTTGTACAGTGAATAGCTTACCTTTTACCTCTAGTCTGCTCATAATCCAGTTCATCTTCCCAGAGGCAACTAACATTACCAGTTTTTTAAGATCCTTTCTAGAGATACCATGTACCTATGAAGCAAATAAGTGTATTTCTTACTTTTTTAAAAACAAGTATAGCACACTATTAATACACTATACTTTTTTCTCTTTAATAAATAATAATATAAGAATAAAGTCTGTGTTTTGTGTACTCACAATTATAAACCTACTTAGCCCACCCCTTATAAGTAGAGTTGCTGAAGCTGATTTTTTGGGGGGCCGTGTTATTCACTTACTAGAGGAGAGTTTTTGAGCCTCTGCTGTGTGCCAAGCACTGTGCTAGGTGCTGGAGATAGAGCAGTGAACGAAACTGACTCAGTCCCCGCATTCACTCAGTTACGGTCTAGAGGGGAAGACCCATTAAACAAATAATTACTTTTGCTGTAAGTGCTATGGAGACAGCTAATTGCAAGCCTAACCCAGGTTGACAGGGAAGGAGGACGGTCAGGGAAGGTCTGTGAGGGAGTGACTTTTAAGGCGAAACCTAAAAGGTGAGGGGAGGACCAAAGACTGTTCTGGGCAGAGGAGATGGCACAGGTAAAGATCCTGAGGAGGACAAGAACGTGGCTGTTCTGAGTTGGAGGAAGAGTTGGAGGAAGTTCCAGCATCTGGATCTCAGGGAGTGAGAAGCAGAGTGGTCGGAGGCAAGGATGCAGAGAGTATGAGCTCTCCAAAAATGAATAAAGAGCATAGTGAATTTTGAGCTCAACCTTTATAGTAGAGATTTTTTTTTCCGTCAGTTCTTTCCACAGATACTGGTTTACTGGTGTTAATGCTAAAACCGTTAATATCATAAAAAAATCTGATGCTCTACGGTGGAACCTGTTTTCTATAAGAATTTCCCTGGATAAAGTCTATTTTAGTCTTGATTTCTTTTAGGTCCTGCAACTTAAACTTGTGTGGCTTGATTAGGTCTTAAAATTTTAGGATCTTAGAAATTGGTGAGATGAGTGATTACTGGGGAGCAATTCTTAGATTATGGGGATGACAGAGTGTTAGTTTTGCCAGACCTGCTATTTAGGAAACAGAAAACCTACTTCTAGGGAATGTTACTATTTTTAGTAAGCCTTATGGGGCTAGAGAGAGAGCGCACACATGTTCTTATCACGCCCTTCATCTAGGCCATACATCTTAACATGACGCATGACTCCTGTTGGGCATACAAATGAATTAGTAGCCGAAGCGCCATTATAAAAAAGCATGGAAGCATTTTTATCTGTAGGTATGTCGACTTTTGTTCAGAAATCATGGTACTCTTCCTCCAAGCCCAGATGGGCCTGTTTAATTCAGTACCTTGTGTGATTTGATCAGCTTGCCCTGTTTCCCTAACTTCAAGTAGATTCTCAGTTTAGCTGCCCATCACTAGTGATCACGGAATGAAAATCTGAAAATGTTCCTAGCATTTCAGCAAGAAACCTCTGTGTGTCTGATGGCTTAAGGGTGTGAGAGTGAGAGAGCAGAGACTCATCAAGTCAACAGTGGAAGTCACAGCTTTGGTATTAGACTATCTGTGGCAAGTCGGAACTTAAGGTATTATCTTTGAGATGAGGCCACACTTCTGTCCACGTGAAGTCTGGGTCAGCATCTCATGGAGCATCTGTTTAAGTTTTCTTTCAGGCCTTTTCATATGGAGACTGTCTTCACTGGATTTTCCTTATTTCTGACTGTCCTCTGTATATGCTTCTCCACTTTTATATTTGGGTGTGCTAATGAGGGATGGCTCATGGAAGTGGAGGGTTGGTGTTATGAGGTATGGCTAGCCCCGTGTGAGAAGAGTCATTTCGTTGTCATCAATGACTAGGTTTCAACTCTACTTGTCATCACCTTTTTAATCTAATTAATAGTCTCTTACAACTTCTAAAGAAGTTGTAAGCATATGTTGGTGGTTTTTAATTTTTTTATTTTTCAGTTAGTGCATTTAATTAAAAACAAGTCCTAAAAAGGATCTAAGGTAACCGATTTTTAGATTTATCCCTCTATTTTTGTATTTACCTTTACAATTAATCTTGGTCACGATTTCTGATAGTGACCTGGGAGTTCCTCACATAGTTGACCTGTGATGTGGAGTGAGCCCTGGGGTGGTGAGCACGGGTGACACCCAGGCTAGGGCAGAGATTCAGGTCACATTAGGCAGCCTGCTTCCATTAGTGCCGAATTCAAGGCACGGATTCTAGAAGCAAGCATAATAGCCTTTCAGTTATTTTGTTTTGGGGAGGATTTTCTGCTGTCCTTAACTATATCAATAACAGATCCAGTATTTATTTATTTTAATTTTATTGATTTTAGAGAGAGAGGAAGAGAGAGAAATACTGATTTGTTGTTGTTCTGCTTACTTATGCATTCTTTGGTTCCTTCTTTAATGTGCCCTGACTGGGGATTGAACCTGCAAACTTGGCGTCTTGGGACAGATGTAGTATAAATAGATCTTATTTTTTTAAATGTTGGTAAATCTGAAGCATGGTTTTTCTTATACAGTGTTAGAATTTTGGGGGTTTTAGTAATTAAATTAAAAAATTTTTTAAATCAAAATAGTAAGACTACATAGTTTGAAGAGTCAAATAGTACCACAAGTCTTTTTAAAAATATTTTATTTATTTATTTTTAGAGAGATGAAGGGAGATAGAGAGGGAGAGAAACAGCAGTGTGTGGTTGCCTCTCATGTGCCCCCCACTGGGGACCTAACCCGCAACCCAGGCATATGCCCTGACTGGGAATAGAACCAGGGACCTTTTGGTTTGCAGGCTGGCACTAATCCACTGAGCCACACCAGCCAGGGCACCACAAGTCTTATAATTTAAAATATTGCTTTCCATTTCTACTTGTTCATCCTCAGTTACTTTTAATATTTTTAGTGTTTTTTTCCCCTGATGTGTATTTTTTTTAAGTTTTTATTTATTTATTTTTAGGGAGGGAAAGAAAGGGAGAAAGAGAGGTAGAGAAACATCAATGCGTGGTTGCCTCTTGCACACTCTCCCACTGGGGATCTGGCCTGCAACCCAGGCATATTCTCTTGACTGGGAATTGAACCAGCGACCCTTTGGTTTTCAGGCTGGCACTCAATTCACTGAGCCATACCAGCCAGGGCTCCTGATGTGTATTATCTTCATACTTCTACAGAGTTATACTACTATTTCTTGATTTTTTTCATTCATAGATATTACCTATTGAATTTTTACTATGGAATATGATTTTGCATTTTTATACTTCTACCTACCTCAAACTTTTCCACTAGCTTCCTAATACAGACCATCACAATCTTGATTAAATCAGTGTTTTGTGTTTTTATAGTATATATCAGAATTCAATCAGAAAAACAAACCATTCTTGATATTTCAAAGAGGATATTAGATGCTTATAAAATCATTGGAAGGCCATGGGAACATAGGTGAGGGAAAACCGTGTTCCAGGGATTTGTAAGAAAGTGCTACCATTAATAATCTTGGCTGCTTTAAAATCCAAACCAGGCAATTTGCAGAATATTGGCAACTGCAGCAAACCAGGTGTTTTATCTGTCCAAAGCCACACACCTCTTTACAGCTACCAGAAGAGCAGTAGTGGCATCTACATTTTTCCTATCTTCCAGATCTTTTTTTTTTAACTTTATTTATTTTTAGTTTTATAGAGAGGGGAAGGGAAGGAGAGAGGGAGAGAAACATCAGTGTGTGGCTGTGTCTCACACATCCCCTCCTGGGGATCTGACCCACAACCTGGGCATGTGCCCTGACTGAGAATCAAACCAACAACCTCTTGGTTCTCAGGCCCGCGCTCAGTCCACTGAGCTACACCAGCCAGGGTGAATGACTTGTATTCTTGGAATTTAAATCACAACCCCTTTGATGGGATTCTGGGAATGTAGTTTCCAGGCCTACAGCCTCCTCCCACCTGCCACCCCATGAGTCCAGAAGACAGTAGTGGTAAATGTTACCAAAAGAAAAAAACTAGGCCCTGGCTGGTGTAGCTCAGTGGATTGGGTGCCTGCCCGTGAACCAAGGGATCACTGGTTCAATTCCCGGTCAGGGCACAGCCTGGGTTGCGG